TGGGTGGTGGGTGAGGGTGGGTCAGGCCTGGGAGAGCCGCGCGCTGGCAACGCGGCTGTGGAGAGCGCTTTTCCAGGCGGTGTCCGTGGCCTGTCTCTGCACCGACCGTGAGGTTTTCTTACTTGTGTTTCCGCACCAGTTCATACGATACAAAATGAGCGCGCAGCTCTGTATTTCTTACTCCGATCTGTCACGAAACAGGAATCAGAGCCCAGTCTCGATAACTCTGCAGTGCGTGTGCCTACGCACAGCTTGTGGTCAGAGTACGCGTTTTGGTGGAATTCTCAGTAACTGGAACATTTCAGCTGCCTGAAAAGTTCCTTTTCATTCAGCGCACTCTGAAAAGTGTCATCGTACGTAATTTGAGGAGTACTGGGACGGTGAACCAGCATATGCTCTTTTATTTAATCCCCATGCACTCCCTAAGTACAATAGTGAGCAAATGTGTAAAGGTTTGCACAGTTAGTGGTGGTGTTCCAGAGCAGCATTGTTAAACTGGGTTTTTTGCCTGTGAGCTCCTGTAAAGCTGATGTTTTCCATTCCGTTGCCGTTCTTTTATTTATGCAGGTGACCATGCTGATCTGTCTTTTCAGACAGGCCTGAGGGGTACCCTTCAGAGCTACAACTGGAAAATACAGCTGAAATCCAGTGGTGCTCTGCCTGTCTCTCTGGCTGAAATAAAAAGCAACATGTAAGTATTGTATCTAAAATAATCCTGCATGACAAGGACAGTAATTTTCTGTAACAATTTTACTTTGTGTCAGTGTCACATTAAGTAATTTTTAAACCTCACAAATGTTTAAATGTTTGATGTGGCCTATTTTTGTTTTATTAATTACTACCTTAAAAATTACAGGTATGCAGCCACCTGTTTTGGGAGATATGTTATACATACAGTGTATCAAATTTGTTATTAATAAAGTAGAACGAGTCTCTAAAGGAACATGAGTTTTATCTCTTTTTTCATTTTCTGATGGAGAATTTTTTTTTCCCATATTTCAACTGACACGAAATATCAGTACTAGTTTCATGACATTCAGCTCTCATTATTTAGGCCCACCGTGAAGAGACTTTTCAACACTTCACACTCATCAGTGGATTCAAAGGAAATGAAAAAGTTCCAGCTACTCGCACATAAGTGGTGGGATGAAGAAGGAGAATACTCAGCCCTTCATTCTATGAATGATATTAGGGTGCCATTTATTAGGTATAGTTATGAAGACAGATATTTTTTTTTATATGTACTATTTCTGCATAACCTCTGAAAACATTGTAAAAGAAAAACAATTACCAGTACTTAAGATAACTGCATATTGCACCTACTAAACCACCTTGTGTGTTTGGTGTTTGCCCTTAATCACGTCCCTTTTCTTTCAGAGATACTCTGTTGAATATGAGTAGTAGTTACAATTTGGGAAGTCCACTTTCTGGAGTAAAGATTCTTGATGTTGGCTGTGGTGGTGGTCTGCTAAGTGAGGTAAGAAAGAGCTGGTTTCTCTTTTTAAAAAGCATACAAAGTATTTGAATTGTTTTACTATTACACTGCTTAATTTCTAATCCTCCAAGGAGGAGCTTCTCTCTTCTGTGTTACGTTAGTTACTGAATGTTTTGGAGTGGTTTACAGAAAGGGAGGTACTTGGTAATGAGAAATTCTAAAATTCCGAGGTTCATCAGAAAAATAAGATTGCAAACACAGTAAAGAAAAGGAGAGGGGGAAAAAAATGATGTAAAAGTCTTTGAGTATTCTTCTGGGCAGTCACAGTATGGCAACTTTTTTTGGTTTGGTTTTTTTTTTTCTTTTTTTACTTTAGAGCCTAGGCAAGAATACTTTAATCATGACAATCCTCATTACCGAAGAAGTATTTTCTATTATAAACTTGTTCTTACACGCTCATTTCTTTGAATTGCTTATCTTCAGTTTGGGGTTTTTTTTTTATATATTGGGTGTGGGGATTCTCGCCTTTGCTTTGATCTCATGGGAAAAGCATGGAATAGTGTCAAACACCTGAGACATACTTCTCTACCAGGAGAGATTCTGCTGGCACAGGGGCTGATGTTACAGCAACTTCCTGGGAAGTCTGCTCAAACTTGGGACTGAGGAGTACCTATTTTTGGTGGCCCCCCTTGGCCGCACAGGCTCTGAACAGTGCTGTATCCTATCAATAGACTAGGGATGGTTTACGAATTTAGGATTACAGATCTGGCTGAGTTACAATGGGAACTTCATCAGTGGCTGAAAAGGGGTCAGATGCTGAATCTCTCCCCATGTTTTTCTTTCATTCTGAGCAAAATTCTGTAGTCTTGTGAGAGCCCGCTCTCCGACAAGGCTGGCAAAACCAGCGTGCTGCATCACCTTCTCAGGCTGAACAGCCGGAGAATTTCAGGTTGGAATAACATACATGTGGTCATGTTCTGCAGCCTGTTTCAGTTTCAAAAGAGGTGATGGCTGAGGTGTTAACCTATGAGTAAGAAGACACTGGAGAAACTTGAGTGACAGCCAAGCCTGATGCTATCCTAGTAAACATCAGTGTTTAGTTCTCAGCAGTGAGAAAGTCCCAGAGATAATCATATATTAAGTAACCATTAAAAAGATATGAGGATTTACCATTACAGGTGGATGTTGAAGAAAGTAATGACAGTAATTAAATACGGCATTGTTTTCCCCCCTCTAAGTACTGTGTTGATTTTCCCCCTTTGTTTTTCCTCTATCAGGGTAATAGTGGAGGAAATCTTTATTTGGTGTAACAAAATGGATCCAGAACAATTTAATCTAAAAGACAATTTCAATGTGTATATTCCAGTATATAATTTTCTAAGAAAAACGCCATCTCCCCCAAATTTAAGGAATTTCTTGCTTTAACAAACATTCAAAATAAAACTGCTGGATCAAAGCTCATAATTTACTGTTGTTTGTCTTATTCTCTGTTAGACGTTTTATACATTGTGTACATACATTGCGAAGTTGCAGAAACCTTTAAGTAAATTGTCTTCATGCAGAGAATAAATTATACTCTGTATTATTAGCCTCTAGGTAGACTGGGAGCTTCAGTTACTGGAATTGATCCTCTGGAGGACAACATTAGAACAGCAGATCAGCACAAGTCATTTGATCCGGTCCTGGCCAAGAGAATACAGTACAAGTCCAGTTCACTGGAGGAGATTGTGGAAGAGTCTATGGAAACCTTTGATGTAATCGTAGCTTCTGAAGTAGTGGAGCATGTGGCTGACCTTGAAATGTTTATCAAGTGTTGCTCTCAGGTGTTAAAGGTAAGGGAGTTTTTGCTTTCATTATTGGGAATATTTATTCTCTTTCATCATTAAGGCTTTCATTTGAAGGCATGTGAAAACACCTACATCTGCATTCATTCCTCCACCTTGAAGTGATGAGATTTGAATCATACTCCAGAGGTGCCTTCCATTCTCCTCCATGTTGCAAGTGCATCTTCCCAACTTCACTAACTAAAGTTAGAGGAAATTTATTTCCCCAGCCCTGCCTTAGAAGAAGGTTAATGGCATTAACTAGCACTGCAGTTTTGCTTTGCATCAAGACCTTAAGAAATCCGATTGCATCTGATTTCACTTAGGTGAGAGAAAACATGGCAGTGCTGCTGTTGATGTATGGCTATGGCTCAGACTGCATCGAAACCAACTGTAATGGTGTTTCTGATTCACAAGATTCTATTCCAGCTCTAGCATCACATGACATGTGCTCCTGGATTGCTTTTAAAGGGTCATAGGAATGCTTGGAGATAATCAGGTGTTGTTTTATTCCTCTTGATATTATTTCATTTGTAAAGAAGGATGGTAGGCCCACTACGCAAGCAGCAGCTTTCCTTTAATCTTTCTGGTTATCAGAAGGGATATAGATTATTTGAGTGGAACACTTAACTATTTTCAGGAATATAGATTATTTCAATGGAATGCTTAACTCATTTTCAGGCTGCTGGGGACATAAAAATTATCCTTTATTTCTACCGAACAGTCTCTTAAGTACTTACAATTCATTTCTGGCTTTGTTTTTTGACCTCCTAATCATTAAAATAAGCATGGCGTTCAGTAGTCTCAAAAACTAGGCAGTATTGCATATTTTACTTCGGTTTTAATTTAAAAGTCTTTGTTTTTACATTAGGTATTTATATGCCTTAGTACCTTTTATTTATCTATTTCCTGGGCAATGTTATAAGTGACTTTGTTAGATGTTTTTTGGGGGCAAGGAAATGGTTATTAGACCATCCAAGACTTTGACTATGTTGACTCTTTGAAGACTACTGAGTCATACTGTTAGGGCATTATATTCTTTATGGTATTTAAATGGTACACTTGTAAATACCTATCCTGGGATGAAATTAGTTCTTAGTCTTGCAGCATGTAGACAGACAAATTATGTGGTTTAATGTGATTAAATTTACAGTATTTTTTTTTTTAAAGTAAATGTTCTTGTAATTGAACATTTTAATCTTTTCATTAGCCTGAAGGTTCTTTATTCATTACTACAATCAATAAAACGCAGTTGTCCTATGTCCTGGGAATTGTGGTTGCAGAAAAAATAATAGGCATTGTCCCGGAAGGAACACACGAGTGGGAGAAGTTTGTTCCCCCTGAAGAGCTGGAGCGCCTCCTGGAATCAAGTAAGTTGCAGGCGAGATGATGGGAATGCAGCGAAATACCCAAACGCTCCCTGTAGAAATGACAAGGGGATAAGCTCGGTGGGGTGAGTGCTAGCAACAATACACAGCTTTTCCTGTGTGAGTTACCAGTCATATATTATGAGTATCATTTCTGGATTAAAGACACTGCTGCTTACTGGATTTTTGCATAAAATAAATAAACTGAGTGGAGTCTTAAGAATGCAGAGATTACTCAAACAAAATCACTGTTACAGCTGCTCTCGTTTTGATAGCTTAAGCTAAAATGCCAAGGTTTTCCATCCTGTTCTGGTGACACAATGTGTGCTCTGAAGTGGTTCATATCCTCTAGGTCTGGTTTGAGAAAATAACTGTATTAGCACTCCAGAACTGTGCTGCTGCCACTGCATTGTTTGTTGTCTTCCTCTTGGGAGAAGGTGTTTTTATTCTTGGTTGCCGCTCCGTGTTATTTATTCATATTATGTTACTAAAAGATTTCTTCAAAAATGTGAAGATGAAACCTACCACAAATTCATTAATCAGTTCTTGAGAAACCAGGATACTGATTTGAAGAAACAATTTCATTTTCCTGGTTTGATTGCTTTTAAAATAGACAAAGCACTGAGCTGGGAAGAGTCCTGCCCATTGCCCTCCTTCCTGCAGATGTTTTAAAACCCTCTCACCGAATATTTCACTTTGCTTTAGTTCACTGTAAAGAAGCTGAAGTATGAGTTGAGCTGTTCTCTTGGCAAGGTCTTCTCCTGGCACCTTCAAGTGATGCCATAAGGAGCATGACTAATACTGTGTTGTGGTTTAATCCCAGCTGGTAACTAGGACCACGCAGCCATTCACTCACTCCTCCCCCAGTAGGGTAGGGAGAAGAGGGAGAAAAGCAAAAAAAAAAATCCAAGCACCATCCCCCCTCCCCCATAACCTCATGGGTTGAGATAAAGACAGTTTAATGGAACAGTAATGGAAGAGAAAATAATAACAACAATGGTAAAAGAATCTACAAGATCAGTGATGCAATACAGTTGCTCTCACCACCTGGTGATTGGTTGCCCAGTGCATCCCAAGCAGTGATTGCAGATTTCTGCCCCCCGTCCAACCCCATCTATGTACTGAGCCTGACGACTATGGTATGGAATATTCCTTTGGCCAGCTTGTCCTGTCTGTGCTCCCTCGCAGCTTCTATGGGAAGCTGAAAAAGTCCTTGACTTCATATAGGCGTTACTTAGCAACAACTAAAACAATATGTGTTACCAACATTCTTCTCATACCAAATCCAAAACACAGCAGCTACTAGGAAGAAAATTAGCTCTATCCCAGCTGAAACCAGGACATACTGGTTCACCTGCCGGTGGTTCTTTCTGTTCTCCCTTCAAAAGGAGAAGCAGGTGCAGTGGAGTGATTTGTTTTAATAGGGTGTTTATTTTCTGCCTTCCCTCATGTATCCTGCTGGGACACAGCAGAGCCATGCAGTGAACTGAGAGCTGCTCAGCAGGGACTGCCAAATCACTCTTTACTTGCACTGAGTCCTTGATGGCATTCTTCTGCCTCTTTCTTATATTTTCCACTCCTAAGGGGAATTGCAGAATCCTTCCAAAGACACACTCAGATTTTGATTTTGAAATGTGTGATGTTGATCTGAAGAACGTCTCCACCTACAGAAAACATTACCAGTCACCCAAATGTAGTGGTGTGACATACTGCTTTGCAGAGCCTCACGATAAAGCGTGCTAATGGTCTGTGGCGTGGCACTGAGCTGTTGCTGCTACTGCCAATAGCGCGACCTACTGTCATTGGTGATGCCTATTGCCTCTGCTTGTGGTGGGGTTGGACAGAGGGCAGCTTGTGAAGTGCTGCTCCCCAGATCGGAGGAGGAAGCGTGTTTCAGACTTGCTGTTCTAAAGGGTTTGATGTTCCAGCGGCTTACAATATTTAAGAACATCAATTACTTTATGGCTTCTTTCTTTTCTAGATGGCTTTTCAGTCAAGACGGTGAATGGGATGTTGTATAATCCCCTCTCGGGGTCGTGGAGCTGGATGGAAAGCACGAGCGTTAACTATGCAGTGCACGCTGTGAAATCTGGGGCTCAGGGACAGCCCAGCCCAACAGACGCCCTGTCAGAGATGGAAAGTGAACAGCCCTCAGCCACAGCTGGCACTACTGTGTGACTCTCTGAGATGGGTGGTGATGGACTGCCACCAGGAACAGAAAAGAAGGTTTTGCCCAGGTGGACATAATAAAACCTTTTTTAGGAAAAAGCTTGCCGTTTGCATTAATAATGCTTATGCTATTTTTGGCCAAATATTTTAGGGCAGTCTCAGACAAAAAACAAGTGCCCATTATCTCAGGAATCATTTAAGATTGAAATGAGCAAAGCCTTTTAAAGACTAAGTATTTTTATAAGAAAGTAGTTTGAAATTGTTCGACACAGAAATGCAAATTATTCTGTCATGAGCTTGGAGGAAGCACTTGTGTGATGGCATTTTCAGTTCTACTAGGAAAACTCCGATCTCCATAGAATGATAGCTTAAATGTAGAATGAGTTTAGAAACACAATAGTATATGATAAATAAAATGCCTAAGATACTTAAGTTACTGAACTGAGTCAGTTAAATTACACAAAACACTTAAAAACCACAACCACTTGTTTCTATGTTATGCCTTCTCCCTGACAGGAGGAGGGAAAAAAAGAGAGCAGCAAACCCTTTTCTGTTAGGTCATGCTATTTCTACAGTTGACGTGAGCTAACTGTGCAGGGGTGGAAGAAGAGTGTCCTACACCAGAGTGCCTCAGCTGTCAGAAGCCTCTTCACCATAAAGGTACTTGTATCCGTGCCTATTATTTCACCTTTCTCCCACCACCCAAATAAAGGGAAGTAAAGCTCCAGGTAAAATTTTACTAAGCAACCAGACCTTTGTGCTAGAAAAACGATACGTTAGCAGTCTGTCCTCGAATTGAAGTGCCATACCTTCTCAGTCTGAAGTCCTAGTGCCAGGTTAAGGAAGTGTTGATCTGCAATGAAATAGCACTTTCTAAATAAAGCATCTTGTGTGTATCCACGATTGTATCTCTGCTCTCTTCTCTTCCTCGCAGCTTGTATACAGGTAGAGAGGTGAGCTGGCTGTGTTTTTCTAACTTTCAGTTTGCAGGGATTAAAATTAAAATTATTTTTTTGGGTTTGTTGGGGGGCTGGGAATTTTTGCTAGTACTGCATTTTTCCTGCTGTACAGGCTTGCTGGGCTAAATTACTGCACTATGCATTTGCATTCTTGTTGCTTTGTTGCATCTGCATGATGACTTGGTATCCAGGTTTCACAATGGATCTGACAATACACAGAAGAATATAGTTAATTTATAATGGAAATAATAGTAATTCATAGGTATTAAGACTGAAAAGAGTTATCTAGTGTGATCACTTCCATGACAGTAAATTCTGCTTTATAATACCTCTTCAGGCTGTAGCTTGGCTACATCTCCATGTAAAGAATTGAGTGATGGAGAAGCCACTATGTCAATAAGTAAATTATTACAAAAGTTCATCAGTTGAAGTGCTGCAACCTCAGGTCCCAGCCAGTGATGTCTTAATGTCTTCACTTTTTAGGTTAAGGACCTCTCTGCTATCAGACATCTCTGTCTTGTAAACGTAGTTGCTGTAGTTTTGAGTCAAGTCACCCCTTAATTTTCGCTTCGTTAAATGGACTCAGATTATGCCTACAGCTGTTTACTGCTACAGTGTAAGTTTCTGAGTTTGTATAAAATTTTGTGGTAAACAACCTTTTTGAAGCATGGATGGTGGAAATGGACACAGCATTTCAGTAAGGGGTCTCACTAATGCTGTCTGCAGGAGGAGCGCTGTCATTCAGCTTCTGCCTGACGTTCTTTTGCACAGGCATCTCTGCTCCATCGGCCATGCCTGCAAAGCAGTGCGTAGTGTTTGGGAGAGGAGCGACACTGGGACAAACGTGGAGCCAGAGCAGATAACCAACAGGCTTTGTTAGCAGGGTGTTCAGGCAGTAAGTGAGTTCCCCTAGCCAAGTAATCAACTTCACTCTAAGTTATTTACAATTATATGAATAAATATAATTTATATAAATTATAAATTTTAAATTTTACCAACAGTGAACTGAAAGAAACAGTATCTGAAAAGCACTGAGACCTGGACAGATTCCTAGGCTAGACCACTAGAAACATCCCCCAAGGGGGAGCAGTCCCCCATTCACCTATTTCCTAAATCCAGATGTTTGTGTAACCAGCTGTTATCCCAGCTTTCTCATCCTTTCCTTTCTTCCCATTCGCTTGTTGCTTGCTTGTAGTTTTTCATTGAACTGTGAGCCGCCTGGGGAAGGAACTGTTTTTTTTCACTGCTATTTCTATCACACTTAGCACAAAACCCCTTTGACGCTGCTTGGGTTCTCTGTCCAGACTCACAAGAGGGCTCACGTACCAAATTAACAGTGGCTGGCATTTAAGCAACAAGTGCACATGCCTGGTTGTCCATGGATACTCCATGGATAAAATGATGGATATGGTTTTGACAAAAACCTTGCTGGAAGCACCTGTTCTGCTGCTCCTGCACGTGTATCGGAGCCCTGCCAACCTGGGAGAGTTTAGTGAGTGGTGTGGGCACAGGAGTGGGGACTGCTTGAACAGGTCCTCGTACTCATGGCATGTTTCTGGATGTCCTGATGTGCTCCGTCCTCAGTCTCTAGCCCTCTGTGTTCCTCTCTTCCTGGAGTATCCACTATTCTGGCTGTATTTCATCCCTCTGGTTAAAACAACCTCTTTTTAAGCTAGAAAGTAAATGATTGCACTAGAGATCATTTTAGTGAGATAACAAACAGTGCAAGAATATCCTACACCTTGCTTTTTAGCTGCTTTTTTTGTTTGTTTTGTGTTTTTTTAACCTTGCATTATTCATTAATGTGCATCTCTGGCACAGTGTAATCAAATTCAGTGCTGTGCGCTGAATACATACTACGTATTCATGCTGCACAAACCTTTTTCTTAAAATCTGTGCATAGGAAACCAATCAGGACTTCACGCTTCTCCTAGCCCAGTTGCTGCGGAAATTTAATAGGTGCTACTGAAATGGACAGAGTTTAAGTCAAATAAATTTGCAAATCTTTGACTTCTCTATTGCAAGTTGTTCATGAGTATGGAGCCATAGCTTTGACACTTACAGGAATAAAAAAGTAATGTTATAGCACCAGGCGCACACCTGGAACAAGAGGTGAGGCAAGAGGTGATCCTTGCCTTGAGACTGGGGAAAAAGTCATATCTGGGGCTTACTCTTTTTCAGCCTCTGTTTATTTCTGGTTGTGGATTCTTGATTCTCCTGTTCCCAGCCATTTGTTTCTGCAACACAACAAATCAGAGCAAGGAGCCGATCTGACCAAAAAAATCCAACAGAGCAAATGATGGTGTTCTGGGTGGTCTCAGCTATTCAGCACTGTTGTGGCTCACTGTGTTGTCTCATCTCTCTCCCATTGCTCCACATGGTCCCCGTCCCAGCCTTTTGCTAAGACTGATGCTTGTCCAAGTTGTAAATATTTTTTCCTTTCCTTTTTTTTTTCTTTTTCCTTCTTCCTTCTCCCTTCTCCCTTCTCCCTTCTCCTTTTCCTTCTCCCTTCTCCTTTTCCTTCTCCCTTCTCCTTTTCCTTCTCCCTTCTCCTTTTCCTTCTCCCTTCTCCTTTTCCTTCTCCCTTCTCCTTTTCCTTCTCCCTTCTCCTTTTCCTTCTCCCTTCTCCTTTTCCTTCTCCCTTCTCCTTTTCCTTCTCCCTTCTCCTTCTCCTTCTCCCTTCTCCTTCTCCTTCTCCCTTCTCCTTCTCCTTCTCCCTTCTCCTTCTCCTTCTCCCTTCTCCTTCTCCTTCTCCCTTCTCCTTCTCCTTCTCCCTTCTCCTTCTCCTTCTCCCTTCTCCTTCTCCTTCTCCCTGTCCTCACGCCTTCTCCCTTCTCCTTCTCCTTCTCCCTTCTCCTTCTCCCTTCTCCTTCTCCTCTTTTCTTTTTTTCTTTTTTTTCTTTTCCCTTGAGGTGCTACTGGTGGTTTTACTGTTCAGGGAGATGATTTTTCCTACTGCCAAGGACTAGTGCCAGCCAGGAGGTAAGCGCTGGGAGCATGTAGCCAGGGAGAAGGTAGGGCAGAACAGCCCCTTGAGGGACAGTAGGCTTTTAGGTTGGCTCAACTTGTCTTGTGCAAGAGCGCTTTCAGATAGTAATTGAAAAATTAACTTCAGTCAAGCCCAATTTGAGTAGTATGAGAGCCTCGAAGATTTGCATTTAATTTCCTTTTTAAATAAAACCAGAACTTGAAGTTTCCACGATGTCCTGGTACACTATCTCATTGCCCCACTGTTCCCTGGAGGTCAAGTGACATTTCATGGCGATTTTTGCAGGACTTTACAATTTCTTTATGTACGTTTCCACAAACACCCTGTGTCAGGTTTCTAGGGAATGGAAAAAAAGGAAGGAGAAAGTAGTGGGAAAGGAAACATGTAGTGGCTGTGAGTAGAGATAAGAATAAAGACTGTCTCGTAGAAAGTTTTTCTGAAAGTGGCTTCTCAAGTTCTTTCATAATGTTGAAATCTCGGCTTTAATAAAAAAAAAAAAAAGAAGCTTATTTTCCACACACTTTTAAGAAATGCTTGAAAGGAATAATCACATGCAGTCTAGAGGTTCAGAAGCCAAAAGGCACAGCTTCTGTAATTAGCCAGCCTGATGAAGCAGACTGCAGGAGAAAAAGTGGGACAGAACATGAATCATCATGGGAGTGTTGATACTGTAGTTGCAGGGATCTGAGAGGCACCCAGGAGCACCCAGAATGCGGGACAGCATTGAAACTGTAGAAGGAAGAGGAGCGATGCCTGGAAGATAAATGTGATTCCAATGGAGATGAGAAGTGTGAAATAATGGTATATAGGGCAGTCAGGTTAGAGTGTGCCTTCAAAGAGGAACTACTGATAGTTGGGAGAGTGGCTCTGTGTCAGATGGAAGCAGGAGAGTTCAGGTATTCACAGCCTCCCACTTGGTTTTGCACGTTAACCTCCAGTGCCTCGTTCCAAACGCCCACCCCCTCGCTGATGCCCTGCAGAGGAAAGGTGGGCTCCTCTCGCTTCAAACTGAATATTGGTCACTTCGTACTCGTGGGTACCTGCCAGCTCCCTCATTCATGGTGCCCCCCATGTTTGTGTAGAGGATCTCTTACTCTGCTGCTTGCAGATGTATTCCCACTGTACTTCTTTGCATTTAATTCCC